CAGTCATAAAGACCCTGTAAAGCTCAGGGAGCTGGGAGACCTTCCAAGGGAGTTAGCGTCTGCAAAATCAGAGGGTTACCTGCCAGGGCTTTCATACTTGGACACCGCTAGGGGTGTAAACCCAATCGTTGAAAAGTTGCCAATTGGTCTGCAAGAGAGGTGGTTAGCTCAAGGCTCACAATACAAGGAGCAATACAATCTTTTCCTCCATTTGCATACTTCACAGACTTCATATGCAATGAAGCACGCAGAAGAAACGACCCAAGCTTCACTCTCTCAACAGCCCCTGTAGCTCCATTGAATAGTTCCCACCGGTTTACTACAGGTCCATCAAAGCTTGAACGAGTGGAAAAGAGACCAGCATATGGGAAAAGCTATATCTCTGCACACAAGACTGAAATAGCAAAGTTACAAACAGCTTCTCAGGCGGACAGTTCAAGCAGCAGGCGAGGTGAAATAGACAAACAATGCCCTATCCACAAGAAACCTCATCCTCTGAAAAAGTGTAGAGGTTTTCGAAGCAAGTCATTAGAAGAGCGTAAGGCGTTTCTTAAAGAAAATGGTATCTGTTTCAGATGTTGCTCTTCTACCAGTCACCTGGCAAAAAACTGTGAAGCGGTTTTGAAGTGTGCAGAATGTGAGAGTGACAGACATGTTGCAGCATTGCACCCTGGACCCCCACCATGGGACAGGAAAGATCCCTCCTCAGAGCATGGCGGGGAGGGTGAAAGAGAAACACTTCAGCAGGCAGTCACCTATAGGTGCACAGAGGTTTGCGATGACAGTATGAAACCTAGATCCTGTTCCAAGATTTGCCTAGTGAAGGTTTATCCTAAAGAACGCCCTGAAAAAGCTGTAAAAATGTATGTCATTCTAGATGACCAGAGCAACAGGTCCCTGGCCAGGTCTGAATTCTTTGACCTCTTTCAAATTGAAGGGTTAAACTCACCATATACTCTGCGCACATGTTCAGGGGTCACTGACGCGTTTGGGAGAAGAGCCACGGGGTTCATGGTGGAGTCACTGGATGGAACAACAAGTGTGATGCTCCCCACACTCATTGAATGCAATCACATGCCAAATGACCGCTCAGAGATTCCAACTCCAGCAGCCGCACAGCACCACTCACACCTGAAGTCCATAGCTCACAAGATACCACACTTAGATCTAGAGGCCCAGATACCATTCCTTCTGGGACGCGACATCATCCAGGTTCACAAAGTCAGAGAACAACGTAATGGGCCACCCAGAGCACCCTACGCTCAAAGACTAGACCTTGGCTGGGTTGTTATAGGTGACGTTTGCTTGGGCTCAGCCCACAAGACAGAGTCTGTGACTTCTTTTCGGACTAGCATGCTTGAAAATGGACGTCCATCTATCCTTACTCCATGTCCCAATCGCATTCAAGTCAAGGAGAGGTTTGGCAACGAAGGACTACACAGCATAAATTGTCATGGCCTTACACACCACACCTCAGTCCTCCATGACAGCAGCCTCGGCAGCACAATCTTTGAAAGAACCAAGGATGATGACAAAGTGGGTCTCTCCATCGAAGATGAGCTTTTCCTGGAGCTTATGGATAAAGAAATGTTTATGGATGAGTCCAACAGCTGGGTGGCACCTCTTCCATTTCGATCACCACGGCGAAAGCTACCAAACAATCGAGAGCAAGCTCTTAATCGTCTTACCTCTTTGTGCCGCACACTTGAAAGAAAACCTGAGATGAAAACTCACTTTGTGAACTTCATGCAAAAGATTTTCGATCATGACCAGGCAGAGCTGGCTCCACCGCTGCAGGAGGGAGAGGAACGATGGTACTTACCCATCTTCGGTGTGTACCACCCTCAGAAGCCGAATCAGATAAGAGTCGTGTTTGATTCCAGCTCTCAGCATCATGGGATTTCTCTCAACGATGTGTTACTTAAAGGCCCAGATCTGAACAACAGCTTACTTGGAGTCTTACTACGGTTCCGAAGAGAGTCAGTAGCAGTGGTAGCAGACATTGAGCAGATGTTTTACAGTTTTACTGTCAGAGAAGACCACCGAGACTTCCTTCGGTTCCTTTGGTTCAAGGACAACAAACCTGGCAAGGAGATTGTGGAGTACAGGATGAAAGTCCATGTGTTCGGCAATAGCCCTTCGCCAGCAGTAGCTATCTATGGTCTTCGTCGCGCGGCACAACATGGAGCTAGTGAGTATGGCTCAGAGGCCCAACACTTTGTGGAGCGTGATTTCTACGTCGACGACGGCCTCAAGTCTCTACCATCAGCTGCTGAAGCCATAGACCTGCTGAAAAAGACAAGGGAGATGCTTGCTGGCTCAAACCTACGTCTCCACAAGATAGCGTCAAACCACTCTGATGTTTTGGATGCCTTCCCTCCTGAAGACCATGCAAAGGGTTTGCAGAACCTGGACTTTAATGACAATTCAGCCCTCATTCAACGCAGCTTAGGGCTCAGCTGGGATCTTAAACAGGACGTCTTCACCTTCAGAGTAGCGTCTACTGAGAAGCCTTTTACCCGTAGAGGCATTCTAGCGACCGTGAACAGTCTGTTTGACCCTCTCGGATTTGTGGCCCCAATTATTATACAAGGCAAGTTCCTGTTACGAGAGCTCACCAGCATTGAAACCCTCGAATGGGATAAGCCTCTTTCACCTGAAAAGGAAACTGAATGGAGAATTTGGAAAGACTCCTTGCAAGACCTGAGTGAGCTTAAGATTCCAAGAGCTTATACACCTTCCACTCTTATCACCACGCAAAAGAAAGAGCTCCACATCTTCTCAGATGCTTCGTTGAAAGCCATCGCCGCTGAAGCTTACCTCAGGGTGATCAATGATGATGGAGAGTGTCACGTAGGATTTGTCTTGGGAAAGGCAAAACTGGTGCCCTCATCTGCCCACACTATCGGAACTGGGAGCAGCTGTGTTGGCAGTAGAAATGGCAGAGTTGATAGAGAGTGAGCTGGACATCAGTGTGGACACATTGAAGTTTTACACAGACAGCAAGGTCGTCTTGGGGTACATATACAATCAGACCAGGAGGTTTTATGTATACGTTTCCAACAGAGTCCAGCGGATCAGGAAGTCCACCAGACCTGAGCAGTGGCACTACGTCTGCACCACACAGAATCCGGCAGATCATGCTACACGTTCTGTACCTGCGGCCGAATTAGCTAGCACAACCTGGCTCACAGGGCCTCCATTTTTGTCTCTCCCTGAAGGACCAGCCATTTCAGAAGAGAAGCCATATGGACTCATTGATCCGGACACAGACGTTGAAGTGCGTTCTCATGCCACCACTCTCTCTACTCCATCGTCTAGCCTGGGATTGCATCGCTTCGAACGGTTCTCATCTTGGAAGTCTCTGGTGCGAGCCATAGCATTCCTGAAACACATCATTCAGTCGCAACAAAGTGCAGTAAAATCCAAGGATGACACCTGTAGTGGCTGGCATCAATGCAAAAAACCTCACCTGGCAGAAGAGCTGTCCAAGGCAGGAACTCTTATTGTCAGGTGTGTGCAAAGAGAAACTTACAGCAAAGAGTTTGCCTGCTTGGTAGCTGGGAAAGACATCTCAAAAGATAGTTCATTGAGAAAGCTGAACCCCTATGTGGACGAAGAGGGTCTCCTTAGAATAGGAGGCAGGCTCAACCATGCTGTACTCGACACTAAAGAAAAGTTCCCTCTTATAATTCCAGGCCGTAGCCACATTGCAACATTGCTTGTGCGTCATTTTCATGAACAGGTTAAGCATCAAGGTCGTGTTCTTACAGAAGGCACTGTCCGCACAGCTGGGTTCTGGATTGTTGGAGCTAAGAAATGCATCAGCAGTATCCTTCACAAATGTGTTACATGTAACAAGCTTCGAGGGAAAAGCGCTGAACAGAAGATGGCAGATCTACCACCAGATCGTCTGAGTACAGAGCCACCCTTCACCTACGTGGGACTTGATGTTTTCGGCCCATGGGCTGTCACCACAAGACGAACCCGCGGTGGACAGGCTAACAGCAAAAGGTGGGCTGTACTTTTCACCTGCATGAGCATACGTGCCGTGCACATAGAGCTGATAGAGGCGATGGACACGTCAAGCTTCATCAATGCTTTGCGCAGATTCTTTGAGCTGCGGGGACCTGCTAAGCAAATCCGTTCAGACTGTGGAACCAATTTTACAGGTGCCTGCAAGGAGCTGCATATACTCCTTACTGATCCCAAAGAGCCCAATGTGAGGAGGTACTTGGGTGAAGAGGGTTGCTCTTGGGTATTTAACCCCCCGCATTCCTCCCACATGGGAGGATCTTGGGAGCGAATGATTGGTTTTGCCAGACGGATACTCAACTCCATGCTTATGCAAACCAGTCCTTCATGCCTTACTCATGAGGTGCTGTCTACTTTAATGGCAGAGATCACGGCAATTATTAATGCTAGGCCACTCGCGCCTATTTCTTCAGATCCGGATTCACCCTTTCTCCTTACCCCTGCTACACTTCTGACTCAGAAGATGTCTACTTACCCTTCTCCTCCGGGAACCTTTGACAGCACAGACCTGCACCGCCAGCAGTGGAGACGGGTGCAGCATCTAGCCGACACGTTTTGGAGCAGATGGAGACGCGAGTACCTTCCTACGCTGCAAAGCCGAAGCAAGTGGCAGGACGTACGGCCTAACATTGAGAAAGGTGACCTGGTTCTGCTTAAGGATAACCAGGCGAAACGGAATGAATGGCCCTTAGCTCTGGTCACAAAGACATTTCCTGATGAAGATGGAAAGGTTAGGAAGATCGAACTCAAGGTCACAAGATCTGGATCAGCAAGAACCTTCTTGAGACCTGTTTCTGAGACGATCCTTCTCAAGAGTGCTGAGGAGACTAACTGATTTAGTTGCCCTTTTTTATTCAGACACAATAAGGTACTTCAGATAGTGGTATTTATTTAATACCAGGCGGGGAGTGTTATGTTCTGACTTTTGCATTTAGTTTGTTACTTTCTCCCCTAGTGGTCATCTGGGAGTAATTCATTGTGTACAACTCTTACATTGCTATCATTGGTTGATTTTATCACATGATGCAGTTTGATCAGGAAACATTAGTAGTTATTTTCCATGCGGTCGGCTCCAGTCTCCTTATCCTGTTCTCACTCTGTTTGTGCCTTGAGAAAGCTTCGCTTGTAAGTTGGATTTGAATTTATACTTAATTATTCTTTAATACACAAGTGTCATATAAGATGTTCTGTGATGTTGAATATTTATTTGTTAACATGTGCAACTGCTATCGTGTAGCCTTTCAGCTAAAAGGTAGCTAATAGTTTGTTAGTTTAGCTGTTGAACTGCACATACTATGTTTACAGTTATAAGCATTCCAGCTGAATGTAAAATATAAATATATATGTTTCAGCTTTGTAGCTTAAAGGTATATTATTTTATGTCTGTTAATGTATGATGTGTTTGAATAGCATTCAGTGATTGGTGCTATCTTTTTGTATCATTTCAGTTTTACAAAATTCCTTCATGAGAATTACGACAACAGTAAAGAGCCTTGAACTTTACTCCAGCTTCTGACTTTCTCTTGAAGCCTGTTAGCTATCTGTCGATTTGTGTACAGTCACACACACTGAGGACAGAATAATTTATGATGTAGTGTTCTTCAAGCCATGCAGATGTCTTCATAATAGATTATATTTATAATGTAATGCTAATCGATATAATCTTTATAATAGTGCAGAATACTATAAAAAACTATATTTTATGTCCGATTTTTTTTATCCGAAGCCACATTTTAAATAGGAAATGTTTACTGAAATGTTTCTTTTTTAGTTTACAGTTGATAGCCTACAGTTTCAAATTTCTAATAACTTTAAAAAAAACTTTGAATATATAAAACTATTTTTTTTTCATCATGGCAATAATTTATTACAAATTTACAGCAAACTGCAAAGTGTCAGCTTTCAAATGAGATAATTGTGCTTATAGTGCAAAGGGTTTATTTTTTAGTGTGGGTTGCCCATTTCTGGGGATTTTTCAAAAGTGGGCTTGAAGCATAACAGGTTAATAAATGTTTTCATAATTTTTTTAATATGTTCTATGAAGCACATTACATCTATGAAGCTAATTATATGAAACATGAATATTAATATATGTAATTGCAATGCCTTTATTTAAGTCATTACACACAGTATGTTATTTCTGCATGACCGGCCCTTGTCAGACAGACAGACTGCCCAGATCAGAGGAGCACTGATAAACTAGCATATTTCCCCAATTAATAACCGGTCTGCAAATAGCCGCCGGGTTCTATTAAATGTCCGGGGTTATAATCCATTTTGCGTATTAAAAACCCACCCGAATAACCAAAGGAGGTGATTATTTACATTATATTGAGGTAAACCCAAAATCATCTGTACAAAATCTAACCCAGGTACATCTGATAATTATTTTTGTTTTTATTTCTGTTGCAGGCAGAGTGTGTATGTGGACACTCACTATTTGCCCTGTCTTCTGTTCCTCTTGTCTGTCCTCCACAAGCAGAGACTCACTGATAGACCACTGTTACCAGTTCTACACATCCACCCACATCCCCACCACAAGTGTATCCTTTACAGGTATGCAAGTTTTCCACATAAAATAAATCATGTTGTCCTTAAAGGTATAGTTACCTTAAGTAAAGTCCTCAGTTATGGGAAAATGAACTGGAAATGCAAGTTGTGCAAATTCACAACAACAAAAAGATTGGACCTGCTGAAACACTGCAGACTAACACATGAGCATTTAGGTCGAGTCCACTCCATACCCTGCCTCTATGCAGATTGTCCTTGCACAGTCAAGACATGGGGTGCATTAAGGACACATTTGTCAAGGCATCATTCTCAGTCAACCCAGCCAGGACACATCATTTCGTTTACATGCATTGTCTGTAATTCATGCTCTTTTGACAATGAGAGGCATTTTTTTGAACATCTTGGTGGCCATCTAAAAAAGTTTGAAACTGTGACATGTGTTTTTGAGGGTTGTGATTATAAGACCAACAAATATACAACATTCCACAGCCACAAGAGTAGAAGACACAACCCACATTTGTTGGAAGATTTCAAGACTAATGTTCTTAATCAACACCAAAACAACCCGGATGAAGAAAGGGATTTTGTTGAGGATGAAAACGACTGTGGCTTAGTCCTTGAGGAGGATGAGGACTTAAACAAAATTATTACTAACAGAGTGGGGTTGCTTCTCCTGAAAATGGAGAACATTTTTAATGTCTCAAATTCATGCATTAATGAACTAGTAGAGGAATTTCATTTCCTTACAGCATCTGCATCTGGCCCTGTCATTAAAGAGATCATTCTGAGTACTTTGAGAAAACATGGCTGTACATTTGAAGACTCAGTGATATCAGAACTGGTCAAAGATCTTTGCCAGCTAAGCCCCGTCTATGCTGCTTTACGAGTGGATGGGCCTTTCAGCAGTAAGTTCAGGAGAGAGCAATTTAGTAAGGAGCATCTCTCATTGATTGAACCAGTTGAGTACATACTCGATCGTACAGAGAAAAAATCATTTCAGTATATCCTCCCATTATTATCTCAACTTGTGAACAACAGCCACATTCAAAACACAATATTACAAAGCAAAAAACCATCTGATGCCTCTTCTGGATACAAATCGTTTAATGATGGATCTTTACTAAGAGAAAACAGCTTTTTATGTGAGGATGAACTTAAACTCACACTCATATTATATATAGATGACTTTGAGATATCCAACCCTCTGGGAACATCCGCAAGAAGCATAAAGTCACAGCAGTGTACTGGGTGTTCGCAGACATACATGCCACATTGAGATCTACACTGACTTCCATTTACTTAACCATTTTGTGCAAGGCAAATGATGTCAACCAGTATGGCTATGCAAAGGTTTTGGACCCTCTCCTCAGAGATTTGAAGTCCTTTGAAGATGAAGGTGTTTTTGTTTCAAGTCTGGGAAAAGTGGTCAGGGGCACTGTACTTGCTGTAGTCGCTGACAATCTTGGCGCTCACTCACTAGGTGGCTTTGTTGAAAGCTTTTCAGCTTCTCATTTTTGTCGCTTTTGCATTGGAGAACGGTCACAGATCCAGGAGCATGAAGTAGGGGAAGGACTGTTTCCTCCACGGACTGAGTCCAACTATGCCATGTATGTCAAAGCAGCACTGTCTGATCCAGCAGAAGGTCACCATTGCGGAGTTAAAAGACAGTGTCCAATCTCAGACAGACTCAGTAACTTTCACGCTATATCAGGTTATCCCCCTGATGCTTAGCATGATTTGCTCGAAGGAATTGTACCTGTCGAAATATCACTCTGTCTTGATGTGTTAATCAGAAAGAAATACATCTCTCTTCAGGAGCTCAACCATTCCATACGTTGCTTTCCTTACAAATGGAGTGACAAAAGAAACTGTCCACAACTCATTGCCCCGCATTTCAAAATACGAAAAAGCGTAGGAGGTAACGCACACGAAAACTGGTGTTTGTTGAGAATGATGCCACTCATGATTGGTGACAAAGTCCCTGAAGATGAGCCTGCTTGGGAGGTTTTGATGGCCCTTAAAGATGTTGTGGAGCTTGTCATGGCTCCTCTCCACACAGAAGAGACAATAGGATACATGCAAAGTAAGATCTCAGAACACCGTTACAGATTTTTTCAAGTGTTCCCAGAGGAGAAAGTTCGACCAAAACACCACTTTCTCGAGCATTATCCTTGGCTTACAACTGTTCACGGGCCAGTGGTACATTTCTGGACTATGCGGTTTGAAGCCAAACATCGATTCTGTAAAAGAATTGTGAGGCAGACTGGGTGTTTTAGAAACATTCTAATGACAATGGCAAGAAAACACCAATCAATGATTGCGTATCATACCAACAATTGCAACAACCAAAGGCCAGCACTGTCAGTGTCCTAGAGGACTCTTGTGGCAGTTGATGTTCTCAAAGATGGCATTAAGGAGTCCTTCGCAAGGAAGTTCCCTGGGGAAGAGTTTGTGAACATGACAAATAAAGCAACCATTTTAGGCACAGACTATAACATTGGCATGGTGCTGCCGTTTGGATCAACAGGAGGCCTACCTGACTTTGGAGAAATCCAGCAAATAATCATTGTGCGTGAAACTCCTGTCTTTCTCCTGAAATTGCTTAGTGGTTGGTATTTTGAACACCTGAGGAGTTTCAAAGTAGAGCCAACAGGAGAGACAGAAATCCTTAAACATTCTGAATTAAAAGAAACATACCCTTTGGCTGCATACAATACAGCAGATGGCCGTATGGTGACCCTTAAACACTTCATTTGCACATCAGAGTAAGTGTAATGGGTTGATTTTATTTATGTTGTCATATCAAATATATGTGCACTTTTCAAGTAGATATTGAAACAATTACTTAACAGCTGTATGGCCAAGAATCCTGTCTTATTTATTTATTTTAATGTTTATTTAACAGGGACGATTGTCACAGAAAATGGGAAAATGTGATGCATACTTACTCTCCTTTCTTATCCTCCTTTTCTCATCTACCTCTGCTTAAAATAATAATGAAAATCAAAGATTATTTATTGAAATTTCCACTGAACTAAATATCTGTTTATTGCTTTGGCAGAAGAATATTGAAGCAAATGCAAGTAAGCTCATCAACTATTAATAACCTATCTCAATTTCTTTTCTTTCTCTGTCTCTACAGCTGAGGAAACGCACTCCAAACAACAATGGCGGTCCATTTACGAGTCATTTTAGAAGAACACAACATTCAAAAGCTGAAACTTCCAACAGGAATTCCAAATACAGTGGAAGAACTTGTTTCCATAGTTACTGAAACGTTTCAATTGCCTGGTGAAATTGGACTACTATACCTAGACAAAGACTTTGACAGTGAGTTTTTCAGTGTCACCTCAACTGCTGACTTGTATGACAAGGCCACTGTTAAAGTGATCCTAAAAGAGCCAACGATAACCCTTGACCTACAGCCAGTACTTGAATCATCTACATTGAGTTCAGTGAGCACCTATCCTGCAAGTACTACTGAAACGGACACCTGCCCTGCAGATCATGATGCATCCTCAGAGGTGTCAAACTGTGCATCGTCAAGTTCCAGTGACACCATTACTCTCCCTGATTCATGTCGCTCTGCTGCATGGCCAGTGCCATTCCAAGTACCGGAGTTTTCCCGAGACCTAGAACTCATCCTCGCAGAGGCAAACAACTCATATGATGCCACTGGAAGACACTTCATGGATGCCAGTGTTAAATCAGCAATAATGCAAGATCTTGCAAAAGTATTTTTTTCTTACACTGCTTACCCAACCAATGAGCAAATCCTCTCTGTGGCTGAAGCCTTGGTTTCTAAGTTTCCGTGTCTTAGGGAGCCGGGATCATTTACAGGGTTATATGGCTGGCAGCAGCGCATAAAAAACAAGATGCACAATTACCGTGCCAAGCTAAGATCTCGAAAATATTCTTACCCAGAAATTGAAATCAACACCTTAAAAAAGAAGCATCCAGGTGATGCAGTGCCTTCGAAAAATATAAAAAAAAAAGCAGAGGTTAATTACCTCCCTCCACACCCTACTGGTGAAAGCCAAGAGACTCTGGAGAAAGAGAGGCTTGAATTAATTTGTGAAATTACAAAGAAAAACAATGCAAAGATAATTGCAGATAAAATGAATAAAACCTTCTCCAGCCGAAGAGTTGAAGTGGTCAGCCTCAGCCCCTCTGTGGGTGTGTTTAAAGAAAGGTGGCCAGCATTATTCACTGAGGCTCAGGTGAGAATGTCTTGTAATTTTTACTTCCCACTAAGATACATTCATGTGATTACTATGAGAGCTGGTCTTTAATTTAAAATGTAATTTTTGGTCCTTTTACTTCCTAGATCAAGGAGGAGTTTAGGCGCATTACAACAGTGTCCTTGGAGGAGACATTCATGCGAAAGCTCGATGAGTACACACTAGGTCTTTTGCGGCTAATGCGTGCCAAAGGAGGAGCAGCTGGTTGCAAGATGCGTCCTCTGCTGGACACTTTAAATGACGTATGTTATTTTATTTTTTCACAAATATGTAATTATTGTTCCAGTTCAGGGAACTTCGAGCTGCGTGTAAACGCCGTGGGGAACGCCTCTGCGTGACGAGTCATGAAGCACGTATGAAATCTGTCCAATGGCGAGACGGAACGTCATAGGCGGGGTGACGTATCGACCAGGAAACTATAAAGCATCCCCGAAACACAAGCGCAACAGCTTCTGAGTCTTCACAAGCGCTCTATGTATGAATTTTGTCTGTCTGTCTAATATTGTATATTTATATATATTGATATGGCGAGCAAACAACAGCAGAATTTCAGAAAGTGTGTTCATCCCTGCCCTCGCTTCATCACGGGTGGGGATACACACGATCTGTGTGTTGTTTGTTTGGGAGTGCAGCATGCTCAGTCGGCTCTCGAGGGGGCCGGCTGTGAGCACTGCGAGTGTCTGCCCATGAAGACACTTCGCTCCCGCCGGGCACTCTTCGAGGAGAGTGGTTCGGTGCGCGCTCCCCGCGGCTCGGGTCCCGCTGCTGCCGAGGCACAGCGAAGGCTTGCGTCGTGGGGATCGCAGATGGATCTATCAGCGGGGATTGAGACGGGCCCCGCCCTTTCTCTGCCCTTACCTGGTAGATCCAGTGCCTCAGTTCTCGCTGCGGGGGTCCGCGTTGCGGTTTTTCCTGCCCGGGCTGAGGCGCCATCACTTCAATTATCCAGTTCTGAGGAGCTGGATGTTGAAAGTGTGGATGCAGAGTCTATGGACTCAGTGGAGAGCGAGGGAAGCTCGTTTGCCATCCCAGTCTCCCGCGAATGTAGTAAAAAAAAAAAAAAGAAAAAAAAAAAAAAAATGGAGGTTTTTGACTCGGGCTGTGGAAAAATTAAGCATTGAATGGCCAGTTGAGAAACAAGAGTCGAGAGAGTAAAATGGATGAGAGATTTTTAATATCACACTCACTACCTCCATGCCGGTGTTTGCCCTTCTTCCCCGATCTACACACCGAGGTGTGTAGATCGTGGAACAAACCAGTGTCAGCTAGAATTTTGACACACCAGACCTCTATGTATGCTAATATTGCTGGGTCTAGGAGATATGAGTGAGGGGGAGGTCGTCGGCACTGACGTGATTAATGAGATACTGCGTCAGGCGGCAGATATTTCTCTCCGTGCCACCAAGGAGACGGCCAGATCAGTCGGCCGCTCTATGGCAGCCCTGGTGGCCACGGAGAGGCATCTGTGGCTAAATCTGGCTAATATGAAGGAGAAAGATAAAGCGTTTCTCCTGGATGCGCCGCTGTCGACCGAAAAAAACAGGCAGCGGCGCTCCAGAAATGTCTCCCCCTCCGTACTCATCCTTCGGGGGCTGCTGGGCGAGAGCAGCCCCGCCCGTCGAGAGAGCGTCGCGTCTCGGGCTCCTCCCCAGCAAAACTGGGCTGAGACGGGGCGTTCTCAGGCGAGGTCTTCCCGGGATAGAACCGATCTGAGGACGGTTATTGTAGCCAGGAAGGCTTCGTCGAAGAAGTCCTGACGCCACTGGTGTCAGGCTACTGAGGGTGGTCCCCACCGTGAGACAGAGGTGTTCGCCGCTGATTCCGGCGCCCGCTCTCTCTCGGTGCCCTCAGGGGTTCGTTCTGCCAACCCTGCCTGTAATGGGGGGTGCAGACGGTCCCAGCGAGCGATTTCCCGAGGGACGCTCGTTTGCTCCGAGGAGCGATACAGAACGGTCGTTAAACCCTGCCTGTGCGCGGTCACAAGGCGCTGTTTCTGTTTTTAAAAACTACTCCAGAGGCCAGTCTCGAGAGACTGGTACCCTTAGTAGAATTTCTGGTAGAATGGGGAAGTCTTCCAAATATATCTCGTTGGGTCCTGCAGACTATCGAACGCGGGTACGCGATCCAGTTTAGGTCGCGTCCACCTCGTTTCCGGGGGGTTTTGCCCACAGTGGTGACCCCCGAGCAGGCTCTGGTTATGGAACAAGAAGTGAAAGCTCTGCTACTGAAGGGGGCGATAGAACGAGTTCTTCCTCCCGACAGAGAGCTGGGGTATTACAGCCGGTACTTCATTGTTCCAAAGAAGGATGGGCGGCTGCGTCCGATTTTAGACCTGCGCCTCTTAAATCGGTCAGTAGGGAAGCTCAAGTTCTAAATGCTGACTCTCAAGCAGATCGTGTCACAGATCAGGTCCGAGGACTGGTTTGTCACGATAGACCTAAAAAAAGACGCGTACTTCCATATCTCCATCCTTCCGCAACATCGGAAGTTCCTGAGGTTCGCTTTTTGGGGCGAAGCGTACCAATATCGGGTCTCCTCGAACCTTCACGAAATGCATGGACGCGGCCTTGGCCCGCTGCGTCTCCAGGGCATTCGCATTTTAAATTACATCGACGATTGGTTGATTCTGGCTCAATCGGAGCATCAGGCGATTCGGCATCGAGATGCCGTCCTCGCCCACATCAGAAGGTTGGGGTTGAGACTCAACGCCAAGAAGAGTGTGCTTTCGCCAGTTCAGTGGACCACTTTTCTAGGCGTGGTATGGGATTCGACGACGATGCAAGCACGTCTGTCGCCGGCTTGTATAGCCTCGATTATCTCGACTGTCAAGCAAGTGAAGCTAGGCCAGTCACTCACTGTAAAGGAATTCCAGAGAATTCTGGGTCTGATGGCAGCAGCATCCAACGTGTTACCGTGCGGCCTGCTGTACATGAGACCACTACAGTGGTGGCTCAGGACCAAGGGGTTCTCCCCGAGGGGAAAGCCGCTCCGCAAGATCAAGGTCACGCGACGTGGTCTCCGTGCCCTGGCTATGTGGAAAGAACCTTGGTTCCTGTCCCTGGGACCTGCGCTGGGAGCCCCGTGTCGCCGGGTAACGGTGACGACGGATGCCTCTCTCACGGGCTGGGGAGCGATCATGAGTGGTCGCTCGGCCCGCGGGTTGTGGCAAGACCATCATCTCCGATGGCATATAAATTGTCTAGAGATGATGGCGGTGTTTCAGGCTCTGAAACACTTTCTCCCAGACCTCAGAGATCATCATGTTCTTGTCCGGTCAGACAACATGTCTGTGGTCTCTTACATAAACCACCAGGGGGGTCTGCAGGGACCCGTTCTGCTGAACCTGCCTGTGAGGGTGGGCGCAGACGGTCCTAGCGAGTGGTTTCCCGAGGGAAGCTCGTTTGCTCCGAGGAGCGATACAGAACAGTCGTTAAACCCTGCCTGTGCGCGGTCACAGGGCACTGTTTCTGTCTCTATAATTACTCCAGAGGCCAGTCTCGAGAGACTGGTACCCTTAGTGGAATTTCTGGCAGAATGGGAAAGTCTTCCAAATATATCTCGATGGGTCCTGCAGACTATCGAACGCGGGTACGCGATCCAGTTCAGGTCACGTCCGCCTCGTTTTCGGGGGATTTTGCCTACAGTGGTATCCCCCGAGCAGGCTCTGGTCATGGAACAAGAGGTGAAAGCTCTGTTACTGAAGGGGGCGATAGAACGAGTTCTTCCCCCCGACAGAGAGTTGGGGTATTACAGCCGTTACTTCATTGTTCCAAAGAAGCTAACGATATACGCCTCCCTCACGGGCTGGGGACGATCATGAGTGGTCGCTCAGCCCGGGGTCTGTGGACTTTCTCCCAGACCTGAGGGTCACCATGTTCTTGTCCGGTCAGACAGCACATCGGGGGTCTTTTTATAGACCATCAAGGGGGTCTGCGCTCATGTCCATTATTCAGGCTAGCGCCAGATCCTTCTGTGGGCCCAGGGGAAGCTTCTTCTTTGGCGATTATATATCCCAGGATATTTAAATCGGGGAGCAGACATCCTGTCGAGGCAGGGGCCGAGGCCCGGGGAGTGGAGACTCCACCCCGAGGTGGTGGAGCTCCTATGGAGTCATTTCGGTCATACCGAGGTAGGCCTATTTGAATCCAGGGACTGAGACACTGCATGCTGTGGTTTCTCTGTATCCACCAGCCCCTCTGGGGTTGGATGCGATGGTACAGGAGTGGCCGAGGTCACCCCTGTACGCATTTCCCCCGATTGCTCTGCTCCCAGGAGTTCTGGAGAGGGTTCACCGAGTCGGGGTCTTTCTACTGTTAGTAGCCCCGCGTTGGCCGGCCCGAGTATGGATGCGGGTCGATACTTCACCCCCGCCCAGATCTATGGAGGTTGTGGCTTGGCCTCTGAGGGGGCCCAGCTCATAGAATCGGGTCTCTCGACTGAGGTCGTGGAGACCATCCTCCAATCCAGAGCTCCGTCCACGAGGAGATTATATGCCTTGAGGTGGCAATGTTTCACCTCTTGGTGGGGAGAACACCAGTTGGACCCAGTTAACTGCCCGGTGTGGCGGTGCTGGAATTCCTTTGGAGCATTTCTCCACAGGGTTATCCCACTCCACACTAAAGGTGTATGTGGTGGCCTATCTGCTTACCACGTCCCTTTGAGTGGAGCTTTTCACGGGAGATACCCATTGGTAATTCTTTTTCTTCGTGGTATTGTGAGGTCAGACCAAGAGAAACTAATCTGCTCTGCCCTCTGAGGGCTCTAGATGCTTATGTCCACAGAGCTGCCCTGTGGAGAAAGCCTGAACAGTTATCTGTTTGTTTTGGACCTCCGAAGAAAGGTTGTCCCGCATCTGAGCAGAGGTTGAGTAAGTGAGTGGTCGAGGCCATCTCATTTGCATATGAGTCCGCCGGTCAGCCTTCTCCTTTGGCTGTCTGGGCTCACTCAACCAGGGGTATGGTAGCTCCGCTCCAGGGGCGCAGGTGCTTTCGTCTAAATATGTGCCTGATTTCATACAACGGACACCTGCTCGCATGGCGGCGTTGGTATTAGCGTTCCCACGGCGTTTACACGCAGCTCGAAGTTCCCTGAATGGGAACGTCTCTGGTTACGTATGTAACCCTAGTTCCCTGAAGGGAACGAGACGCTGCGTGTCTATGCCATACTCCCAGCGTGCCCGTGAGCGCTTGCTTCAGTCCTATCAGAAGCTGTTGCGCTTGTGTTTCGGGGATGCTTTATAGTTTCCTGGTCGATACGTCACCCCGCCTATGACGTTCCGTCTCGCCATTGGACAGATTTCATACGTGCTTCATGACTCGTCACGCAGAGGCGTTCCCCACGGCGTTTACACGCAGCGTCTCGTTCCCTTCAGGGAACTAGGGTTACATACGTAACCAGAGACGATATGAGTGAATTAAAAGTAAAGTAATTTGTAAACAATTGCTTTGTTGTGCGCAAAGTTGAGCTCCATACCAACTTAAACCTTTTGACATCAATGTGTGAATTTCTTCTTATCCATCCATTTTCTTTACTGTTTTGTCCGTTCGGGTTTTGTCCGTTCGGGTCACGGGTCACGATTTTTGAGCCAACCCAGCATTTATCAGGCGAAGGGGCAGGGTTCACTCTGGACAGGTCACCAGTCTATTGCAGGGCCGGAATTCAGTCTTAGTATATGTAAATCACTCCCCACTCCGCTAACAGTCTTATCACTAAATTGTATCTCCCTACAGATTGTTGTCTGCTGCCTCATTAACTACCTCGGTGAAAGACAAGAAGATCTTTTCCTTGCCTGCCAAGTAGGTCATATTGATAACAGATTTTTGATTAAAGGGATAGTTCACTTTGAAATTAATTTTTGATATGTTTTAGCTTACCTCGAGGGCATCCAAGATGTAGGTGTCTTTGTTTCCACAGTATTTTCAATTTTGACATTTTTAGGTCAAACCGTTCTTGTCTATCAGTCATATAATGGAGGTTTAGGGGGTCCACCTCAAAGAGCAGCACAGAGAAGTCCAAATTAAACATGATTTAATGACTCGTAAATGTAAGTACACACTGATGGCCTAAGACACGAAACGAGCGGTTTGTGTGAGAAAACGAACAGTATTTATATCGTTTTTACCTCTTGTTAAGAGCCGTCGAACTGATCTGAATCAGATGTTCAACTGAACCGAACTGAACCGTCTCCAGACGTTACGCTGGAAGTGATCTGTCACGCGTCTACATCACGCATTGTTTACACGGAGATTTCGGAAGTTTTAACTTTCACTAAAGTTAAGCGATCGTGCCCTTTGAACTAGAAAAAACGAATTGGATAATTTTGAAAAACGAAAGCCCTTTGAACTAGAAAAACTATTTCTTCATTTTAAAGAACAAGTTCGAACAGGAGAGTCACGATCGCTCATTTAAAAAATAAATAAAAAAGTTTAAGTTTTATAAGCACAAATGCTCGCCTTGCTCTGTTCTGTGATGAGCGTTCGTGACTCTCCTGTTCGAACTCGTTCATCAAAATGAAGAAATAGTTTTTCTAGTCATGGCTCGAAGGGTCCTAGATAAGACCCTTATTCATCGTCTGGAGTCGTTTAAAGCCCTTTGAAGCTGCACTGAAACTCTCATTTGGACCCCATTGAAGTCCATTATATGGAGAAAATGCTGGAATGTTTTCATCAAAAACCTCAATTTCTTTTTGACTGAAGAAAGAATGACGTGGACATCTTGGATGACATTGTGGTGAGTAAATTATCAGCAAATTGTTTTTTTAAAAAGTGAATTACTCCTTTAACTCAAGGGATCCTCCTCTCCTCTCCACCTTCTCCTTTTGCCTTCCACTCCCCCTCTGCTCTCCTTTTTAATAAACTGAAATATATTGAAACAGCATCTTAAATAAAATAAAAATGTGTATGCTTTTTGTTTGTTTCTTTTCAACATGTAGGAATGTGAGGACTACACAGACAAAACATTGAAGGTGATTGTGAAGCACAATGTCATGGCTGAGGAGGACCCATCAGATTTAACTATTGTGATCGAGGGAAACCAAGTGATGGAAGGATGTGGAAGCCGAACAAAGGCATGCATACTGCTGATGGGACTCATTTATGCAATCAACATCGAATATCCAAAGGAGCTGAAAAACACGTTTGAAGCTTTTCAAAAACTTTTTTTGGAAATTGACGGGGCAAAACTCCCGAAAAAGGTCCACAGCCTCAAAAATAAGCTCATGCAGTAGACACACATTTCCCCTCTTGTTTGAAAGAGGATCTTTTCTTTGGACATGATTTTAATGTAGTTGAAATGGAGTGTAGTTTTATATTTTTCTTCTTTTTCCTTATTTGCTACACATAAAGACACAGATCCATCCACTCTCTATCAGCCCATTGCTCTGTGTGTTTTCACACAGATTGACAGAAAAGGAATACCAATAGAAAGTGACCTGAAAAATTTTGATCTCTCCTTCTCCATTTGTTTCTTTTATTCTCATCCTATCTTTAAGAGTGAGAGCAAGCTCAAATATTAAAGAATGTTGCGGTTCTGTTTTATCTTTATCCAAATATTTGATACTGTACGCACAGAAACAACCATGTGGAGTTTGTGTGTGTGCTTTTGATTTTTAAAATAGAAAAAGTGGCATGTGTTGTTTAGAGTAGCCAATTATCCAGAAACAACATTTGAAACTTATCTTAGTGAGTTATAAAAGGAGTCAATTTTTTCATGGTTGTGTGAAGCTGTTGTACTTTATTTAGCACTTCATTCTGTGTTTTTTGATAATTTGGTGCATCATTATGCATATAAACAAGGCTGTTCTGTTATTTGTTATATGAATGTACCTGTACCACAGATTTGTTCAGTCACTGTTATGTAAATCTGAAAAGAAACCAAAAGAGTTTAGTCTAAGAGTTTAGATACAAGAAAATCTTAAAGTTATTGGACATCCAGCACTGCTCTGATCTCCTCATTTCTCCGTTCATTTTCTCTTCTCTGCTGCCTTCTCTCCTCACTTCTCTTTTCCACTCTGATCTGGATGTCCTAAAACAGGGATATGTTTTATTATCCAACATTTTTGAAACAACATTTGATTGTGATTTGTAAAACAGGTTCTACTTGAAATGTTGTGTAAAGCTGTTGTTGTGTAAAGGTGTTTCATAGGATTTTTTTGGATTAAAAACATTGATCTGATGGACCATCTGAATGTCTTTATTGTGGGCAGTACATTATACCTTCTCTGAATAAGTAATTAGCTTTGATTTGAAGAGATAATTTTTACCTAATTTTAATGAGTAAGTATCTATTGATAAATGTGAGGTATTGTTACCCAATTTATGCAAGTATTTAATAGCTATTTACTTCAGATAGTTTCTACTCACTATATGGGATTAAATTTACCCCACCAAAGTCAATGCAAATTGTTACCTCACATTTATTGGGTAAATTCTATAGATTAGTTTTTACAATGTATCTGGCGTTTATAACCACCAATGTTGTGGAACTGCATTAGTAGCATGGAAGTTGGACAAAAAGCAAATTTACACAATGTTTTGAGAAAATGTACCATATAGTCACACACAGGCATCAAGAATTTGCATATGATTCACAAAAATGGAGACAATAAATAATAAAAAAAAATGCTTCATGCTGCAATGCATGATGGGTAGCTTTCATAGTACAAAACATCCTTGATTCCCAGGCTTTTTTGTTTTGGTTTTCACCATCGTTGAGAATCATATGCAAAATCTTGAAATCTGTGTGTGACTATGTGATTCACTTTCTTAAAACACATTGCACGCAGTGGTCATTATAAAGTCCAAATAATGCAGTTCCACAAGACGAATAATTAGAAATTTCAGATATAAAAACAAAAGTTTAGATGTTGTTTAATGCTTGCATTGTGTTGATTTTGTCATCATCAACAAGCAGCTGATGACAACTAATTTTTAATTTTCTTGGCTTTCTCTGCACAATGAATGGTGTTATGCAAATAGTTACAAAAGCCAAAGAAAAGCTAAAGTAAGAAGAACTGGGACCAAAAGCCCAACTAAAGCAAACACTCATCACCACAATGGTGATTTAAAATGAAACCAATATCACCATCTAAACCACATCTAAACAATGTAAATAAACATGAGTTTTAATTTAATGCATCCCAAGAGTGTTTATTTGGTCAAGAAACAGTTTAAATTGTCTAAATAAGACCATAAGTTATGTTGAAAACATGTCCACAATGGCCACATTTGCACTTGTTTTTAACCTTGTACGGAGGATCCATTAATGTCTATATCGGACGTGCAGAACACGTCACAAAAAGACATTCATGCCCCTCAGTGGACTTCTTTTCAACGTCAGACTTATGACAAAGACAAAAGACAATAGACAATATCTAAAGTATAAAATGTAAGGGTTGACAGACTGCCCCACTGAAGCAAACACCGATCTCCATAATGGTGACTTATAATTTTGATTTTTCACTTTCAGTGATTCTACTTGTTAACATCAGGTATCTTCAATGTTGGTCAATCATCGCTCAATTAATCACTTAATTATCTCATTAACTTTAACACTGATTCAGTGTTAATTTAACACTCTTGAGTGTGGAGTCATATAAACTCCCAGGAGAGTTAATTTAACACTGGAGTTTTTGCTCTACTAAAGTTCACCAAAAATCTCAAACGTTTGCACAAATCATGACTAGATCATGTAGTAACACTTGAGTACTAGTTAGTTCCAATGATCTTCACTTTATAATACAGATCCAAATAATTAGTAATTCCCACAGAAGTATCTAGTAACACTTTCATCTGTGAGCTATTACTTACTAATTTGTTAATAAGAGTTTCTTTTAGTTAATAGTAGTTACTAGATTCTTAATAAACTTTTTCAGTAGTTCTCTGGAAAGTATTAAAAAAATAGTAGTTATTGATTACTTAATAGTGAACTACCACTTTCGTCTGTGCGCTATTACTTACTAGTTCGTTAATCTGAGTTTCTTGTTAGTTAATAATAGTTACTAGATTGTTAATATTGTGTTACTCAATGGTTCTTGTGTAGTTATTCATTAACGAAGTAACCGTATTCTAAAGTGTTGCCGACATTTCAACTAGTGACAATTTAATTATTGATATCAGGAATTCACATTTTTACTAACAATGTAATTATTGATATCAAAATGATATTTCTACTAGTAAAAAATCAATTCTTGATATCAACAATTCATTTTGAATGGCAGCCTATGGTGACATTTCACTAGTGAAAATACAATTACAGATATCAGCAATTCAGTTGTTGATATCAACAATTCAATTGTTGATATCAAGAATTCTTGATATCAACAATTCAATTGTTGATATCAAAAAATTGCATTGTTGATAGCAAGAATTCATATCCTGGAAGTGAATTAAAGCTATTCAAATTGAATTGTTGATATCAAGAATTGATTTTTTACTAGTAGAAACATCATTTTTGATATCATAATTACATTGTTACTAGTAAAAATGTGAATTCCTGATATGTAATTGTTGATATCAAGAATGTAATTGTTGATATCAAGAATTCATATCCTGGAAATTATTAAAAGCTTAAACGGCTTGCCATAGAAACCTGTGTTTTAAACGCGTCTCTTGTGACCATTAGCCTTTGGTTTTCATTGAGATCCTCCCCTTTTGCGTCATTAACGTTTGACTGCCTGAATAGGATAATTGAAATGTTTTTGCTTAATCCATTGTATTTGTCTTTCCTTTCTGGAAGTTTAGGTCTAGCCTTAGTTCTATTTCATGACCACATTATAACCAACCACCAACACCCCCCCCCCCCCCCCCCACCTACCCCAACCACACTCTATCTGTATTTTAGATCTGATATCTGTATCTTGGCCAACCGTTGCAGCAGTAATTGATAATTAAAGAGCAATAACTCAGCAGTCAGTGCAGTCTCTCAGCAGGAGCTGCCCACCCTTAGCCCCCCCCCCCCCCACACACACACACACTTCTGCCAGCATGTGCCCAGACATCACACATTAACATTACACACACACTGACAATTGAAATACATATAGTATACCCAAGGAACTGTGGTGTAGGAAGGTTGGATGGATTATGACACTGTTATGGCATTAAACATTATCATATCTGAAATGAATGATGAAATACAAATATTGTATTGTATACAAAAATACCACTCATCTCCACTACAAATAGGAAAAAGAGGCTACAATTTGCAAGAGCTCACCAAAATTGGACTGTTGAAGACTGGAAAAAAGGACGAAACAACGGATTGGCCTAGGCAACTGTCACTTTCTCGCAACCATGGCAACCACCCTTTTGCCACACAGGACCTGCCCACTTGCGCGTATCCAGATACCTGTTCACATGCTTTGTTTGAGCTTGAAGATGCAAAACTCGACGCAGGTCCTCTTTTCCAAGAAGTGCTCCTTGCCCTGCACTTCGACCACCGCGTCCTCGGCCTCTACTTCCTCGGACCCTAGCTGCATGGCCTCTTGCACGGCCCAATCTGCTTCGCCCTCGACCACGGATCTGTCCTCGAGCTGATGAAGCGGTAGGCTACTTGTCTCTGGAGTGTCAACATGAAAACATGACTTTTGCGTAAACGCCACTTTCAAGTCAAGTGCTGTATTATCTATACACATTTTCAGCTATCTGCGTGTATGCGTGTATGTACACACCGTTAAATGTCCGAGCGAAACGAAGCAAAATGTAGATTTACATCTGGGTAGCGATATTTTTTTCCTTGGATGGTAGGGTAAGACTCATAAATGCTATTAACCCCACTGTCCTCATCAGAGTCAACAATGCTTTCATCATGGAAACTCTTAACGTTACATGCCGAACACCATAGGCTATATGTTATGAATCTCACACGAAATTCATCTTCATCACGATGGCAATCTTCTTAAATGATGGCAATGGAAAAATGTGTATAATGCAACTTTTTTTTAGCTTTGCCTTAGGCTATAGATGACTTTACCAATAGCTTGATGCTTGATAGTGAGTACTAAAATACATCTTATTTGTTTATCTTCATAATTATAAAGTTAGAAGTAGTTCTAATAGGCCTGCTTGTGTCAAAATGATTTATTGCTTTTTGATTGACAAGGGGCGTGGCTGACCTTTGACCTTCCGGATTCCATCTTTGAAGTAGTCATAAACCTTTGACCTTTGACATACCATGTCTGGGATATCGATTAACCTTTGACCTAACGATCAATCAAATGGACAGGTGGTATTTGACCCGTTGACCTTTTTTAATCCCAAAAAACATGTGTGGGAACATCTGTGGTTTTGACCCGTTGACCTTTTCTAATTCAAAAAACATGCGTGTGAACATCTGTGGTTTTGCCCACTTAGTGACCCCAGGAAGCGATCGGTTGACCCTGGTTGACAGTTGTCTGGTTTTATCATTTATGTAGCCATGATACCCCCTCCCATACCAGAAACCCGTCTATAAAATGGGTGGTCTCTGTTCTACAGAATTCCCCATCCCATCCTGCTGTTGCATTGATGGAATAATTTTCTAATAATCCCTGTATCACAATATGGTCTGTAAAATAAAAGCGGCTTACTTGAGTGTTGATGATCCCTTCAGATTCTCTCACCGGCCTTCGGCCCTGTGACAGTGGCTGTGTGAGATGGCTGAACATTCCTACACCCAGAGAAAAAATCTAAAAAATGAAACCGTGTTTTATAGATTATAAGGAAAAACATTTAGATTTAAATGTGAAAAAAGCATCTTACTTTATCAGTCATTTCCATAAAGATGTGAAAAACCTCTCTCCCTCACATCAACAGCAGCATCTGTGAGCCTGTTTTTCTGTCTGTGTGTGTGTCTGTGACTGCATTACATTCCTGCATCCTCTGCTGAAACAGTTACAGAAAAAAGTTCAAACTTTTTCTCACTAGTTAAAGTTAAAACCATGGATCATTTAAAAAGAATATCAATAAAATGCTTTATCATTCATTGTAAAATAATACAACATGTTTTATAGATTATAAGTTGACTAACAGTCTATCAAAAATAAAACCATCTTACTTTTCCAACTGGTTGACAAAGTAGTTCCTAAGATGTCCATACAATACATGGATGGTTTACAAAAGATGTAAAAGATGAGTTTAAAGTTGTGAAGATCTCCCTG